TTTGTTGAGGCTGGGGACTAGGTCGGTGGTAGATCGCTGGCCTTGCATGCACGGGATGGGATCTTGGGTTCCATTCCACGAAATATTGTTGTTGAGTGACAGCACGTAGGACCAGAGTCTAACACTGAGCGCAAATCTGGATTCCAAATGTCTTCTACACTAAGCCAGAGTCTGAGCTGAAACCCGGAGGGTCGGGGTTGGGGAGGGAGGCTCCCACACTCCCCAGGGAGGCAGCTGGGGATGGGGAGACCTGGGCTTTCTTCCAAGGTGGGAGTTCTGCCCTCCCTCGGGGGAGCAACGCCGGAACTTCCAGAGAAGAGCAGGAATTTCTGAAATCCGGGCCCGGCCGAGCGGTAATAGGCACCTTCGCGCCGCCAGCGGAACCGCCCAGCCCTAAATCACGGCCACCTGCCCTCCTCCCGCCGGCCGGCGCGGGCAGCGCTGCTCCCGGGCATGGGCGGTTCCAGCCGCGGCGCGCACCGGCCGTGCAGGTGCCGCGGAAATGCCTGCCCCGCTGGCCGCTTTGAAGTCGCGCTCGCGCCGCAGCGTCCTACCGGGTGCGGGCGACCCGCCTGCGTCCCCTCCGCGCTTCCAGCCCCCAGTGGGCAGAGGCCTGGGGCGGAGGCGCTTCCCGGGAGCCCGGCCGCCTGTCAAGAGAGTGTGGCCTCAGAATTATGGATTGGAGCCCTGGGTCCTTGATCTGTGCAGGGGAAAGGGATGGGAAGGTGACCTGTGCCCAGCACGGGGACAATGGTGCGGTTCCACATTTTCCTTGCTTTTATGGACGCTTTAAGAGTTCGTGTTAGGGACCAGAGAAGTTTGTCCAACTCACTATTTTTTTCTTACTGTTCCCTTTGAGCCCCATAGATGTCTATTGCAATGGATTTTCCCTCCATGCGATGCAGGGATGGGGATGTTCCAAAGTTAATGAGCAAGAATGAAATTGTGTAATCAAAATTATCCTTAAATAGAACTTAAATTACAGTACACAACAGCATTATATATTTAACCCTGAACAATGTTTTTACACAAGTTAACACTTAATAACTACTGAAATAGATTCTAAAGAGGGAAATGAATACACACACACACACACACACACACACACATTTCCTTTCTATGCATTCAAACTGCTTTGCTGTGGAGGCAGTTTTGAATTCAGTAGCTCTTGGATGGGGTGCAAGGTTTTGCTTGATGCTGTAACCACTACAACCATAATTTGGGGACCATAGCTTTAAGGCAACTATCATGGGGGAATCTAAAAACACTTTTACATGGATGCAGTTTCCTCCCTCCTGTTTTAATATTGAGCTTCATAAAGTTACCTTGAGTTAATACATTGGTTTGTGGTCATCTGCATACAGGTCTAGTGTGTAGTAGGTGTTTAATAAGTGCTTGATCAGACTTAGATGGGATTTCCAGTTTCATGATTATCTTCATATCAGGGATTGTACCATTTATTGAACAGTCAGCAAATATTTCCCCACACCTCCTGCATACCAGGCACAGTGCTAGGAAATTAGAGGTGACCTAGAGGTGGCCCCAGCAACAGCACAGAAGTGCAGTACAATATGCAGCTAAATTCTAGACAGGATTGGGAACCCTGTGGGAGAGGCTCAGGGCTGACTTTACTGAGGAGGAAAGGGCAACAAGCAACTGAGGCTGGTGACTCACTGAAGGCACCTGAACTCGGTCCAGAACTCTGGCAGGCAAAGAGCCCTGAAGACTTCCCTGCAGATGCAGTCAGGGAGCCTCGGGCTGATCCTGTGTCCTTGGGCTTTACCTGGCTGACTGGGCCCTGACTCACCTGCTGGAGGGGTCAGGGGTAGGCATGGGCTGTTCACTTCTGTTCTCTGGTGCTTTCTCTGGGATCCCAGGGGCCATCAGTTCTGCCTGCATGGCTCAAAAGGAGTTAAAGAAATCTCAGGCAGCAAATCTCAATCGCAGCAGGCAGGCATTTGGACCCTCTGGACTTCTGCCTTCCAGTTCACGTTCTCTTCTGTTTGTTTCTGCCCATTGCCCCCTGTCTTTCCAAATTTCCTCTATATTAGTCAAACCCTTTTAAAATTTTCATTCTCAGTTGAAACTACTTAAATCTCTTAAAATTCCTATTTCAAAGGACAGATGCAAAGTCTCTAAAAATGATAGGAGTGGGGGGGATTGGGGTGTTGGTGGGTACTCCCTGAGCTGAACATGGAGGCCAAGCCCAGACGGGTTAAGAACCTGGTCTTGGAATAGGAAACACACCACAGCTCACCCTCTGACTTGGGTCAAGGTCCTTAAGTCTGTTTCCATCTGCATCATAATAATGAACTTTCCATATGGGACTCTTGTGAAGCTAAGATAATATATGTTTAAAAAGCACTTAGTCCAATGCCTAGTCTATGAGAAGCACTCTATCGAATTCAGTACCATTATTATTAAGATTATTATTGCTATGGTTAATTATCACCAAGCAGCATCCTATCCATAGTGGTATGTGAGTTCTAGGATACTGAGTCACTGGAGGAAAAAAGGTGCTAGATGTAGTCTAAGCTTGTTTGTCACCCACTGGTACCCTCCCCTCAGCTCCTGGGCTGCCCCAGGAAGGTTCTTCTCCCTTGAGGCTGCCCTGGAGATCAATGGGCCACCTCCATCCTTCTGTGAAGATGGGGGTTGCTCATGGCTCATCCATCTACTTTTTGGGGCCTACAAGGCTCTTGATTGTAGGTCAAGGTTCTCATAAGTATCCAGGTGAGTTTAAATCCAGAGCTTGAGCTTAGTACCTACCCTCAGGATCAGCTGTATGGGCATGGGATTGGTGCAGTGGTTTAGAGGCACTCTAGGTTTGATTTAGTGCTGTGCTGTCTCCATCTTCAAATTCTTAGTACTTTGGAACAAGGGGCTCCAAATTTTACTTTGCTCTGGACCCAACAAATCACTTAGCTGGTCCTGCCTACACCTTCATAGAGAAGATAACTTCCATGCAAAGGAAAGTGAGGTGCAGAATCAGGGACATGAATGGCACAGGTCACAGTGTGAAGAGCTGTTGGCTTGCAGAGGGTGGGAGGAAGAGATCTCCCACCTCAGGCTTCCTTTCCCACCTGGAAGGTCCAGATCCTCTGCCCTCTGCTGATAACAGGGGCTTTTCTGAGGATTTGGACAAGGCCCTGAGTTCCACAGTGTCTGGGTGAACAGGGCAGTGATTCAGCTCTTTCTAGGGTGGCTTCTAAGGGCTAAAGGATATGGATGAGGGTGAGAGGAGAGGTGGCCATGGAATGTGACAGTAAGGAATCAGATGCCTGGGCTTTGGCCCATGCCCTGCTTCCTACTCTGAGACATACCAAGGCTGACATTCTGCTACTTGAGCTGGATGGGTGGGCATGGGTGCTAAGACACTTGTGGCCCAAGAACTGCATAAAATTCTGCATGAGGAATACAGGTGTATGTATGTTGTGGGGGAGGCTTGAATTAAGAAGAGAAAACCTCTGGTTTTAATGAATTTATTTATTTATTTAATTTGTTTAATTGGTACTGGGTATTGAACCCAGGGACACTTAACCACTAGGCCACATCCCCAGCCCTTTTTTTGTATTTTATTTAGAGACAGGGTCTTGCTTAGAGCCTCACTAAATTTCTGAGGCTGGCTTTGAACTCTGGATCCTTTTGCCTCAGCCCCCTGATCTAGCTAACTATTTTCCCCCCACAATTCCTTTTATTTCATGGGTTTATTTTTCATGTGGTGCTGAGGATGGAATCCAGTGGCTCACACATGCCAGGCAAGTGCTCTACTGCTCAGCCACAACTCCAGCCCTCTAGCTGACTTAATTCCACATAATACTGCTCTTTTGGAAAGAACAAAAGCCAGGAAGTACAAAAAGTCCTTAGGCTACTTCTAGTCTAGTGAACAAGACTGACAATCACACAAGTAAATATATATGGTTTGTTTCCTAGTGCCCTGCACTTTCCCTCTGTGGAGAAATTCAGTTGAAACGATGGGATTGTTGCTGCTGATGTTCTCTGGCACGAATGCAAACTGCATTCTCATCCCCGCTGATGCCACAACAGGCCTTGGCATTCAGGTTATGGCTGGGAATGAGATTTACCTTAAGGAACTCCAAATAACTCCCTATGGATGCCTGAAATTCCACTGGGAGTCTTTCTCTAGGATTAAGCATTTTTCTTTTCTGAGACCCTGTTTAAAATTCAAATCCCTGGTGGTAATAGCAGGAAAGATTTGGTGAGTCCTTAACAGGATAGTACTGTGTCATGAGTAGAACTGTCCCAGGGCCCTGGGCTTCAAAGGATGCCGCTGATTGGTACTACCAGGAGAGCTAGAGGAAAAAGAAGATCTTCACCATCTTCTCTGCTGATTCAGCCCCACTCTTTCTGAAGGAAAGGAAGTCAAAAGGAAGTAGGAGGAGAGTTGAGCCCAATCAAAACCCCAACTCAAAATCCTGACCAACCTCAGCTGGTAGCTGAAAAAGCCTGAAGCTCTACTCAGCTTAGGAAGGGGGACTTAAGACTGTGTCAACTCTGCCCCTTCCTTATTGATCCTCTGGGTTGGTCACGCTTTTCCTCAATGACAGCTCTGTAGTTGTCCATGAGACTTGACAAGAACTTTCAAGATTCTAAAGAACATTCAATCCACCATTGCCACCCTTCTATGGTCTATCAATTCTCCTGCCCAGAATCCACATTGGGGCACTCTATCTGGGGTCAGCGGAAAGAATGTGGATCCCAGTCAACCTAGAGAGACCCCTGGAGTGAGGCACAGCAAGTTCCTGGTGGCGATTGGAGTTCTGCCCCGGGCATGGCCTGGCTTCCCAGCTGGTCCCCGTGTGTGTACAAGAATCTGCATGCTTCCTTCCTTGCTTGCTTCCTTCTCAGTTCCTCCCTCGCCAACCTACCTGGGGGCAGGTAATAAAGCAGGAGGAGGGAGATGGATGGATGGGGAGGGCGGGGAGCCACGTGGTGCCATAAAGCCCAGGTAGAGAGGGCCGTTCAGGGAGTGTCCAGACCACAGGAGCCAACGCTCAGAGGGTGGACTGTCAGCCTCACCTTCCCAGCGCCGAAGCAGCGGGGCCTGGGAAGTGGCCATGCTCCGAGGCTCGCCCGGGCTAGGCCTCAGGGGCCTGAAAGGAGCCGAGGGCTCTGCAGAGGACTTGGGAGGCTCTTGCCCTGAGACTGGGAGGAACTTTGGGGTGCTGAGGGAAAACGGCGCCCCCCGGAGCCAGGGAGAGGCCGGGGAGGCTGCGGGCGGAAAGCGGGCCAGGCCGGTGCGGTCCAAGGCGCGGCGCATGGCCGCCAACGTGCGGGAGCGCAAGCGCATCCTGGACTACAACGAGGCCTTCAACGCGCTGCGGCGGGCGCTGCGGCACGACCTGGGCGGCAAGAGGCTCTCCAAGATCGCCACGCTGCGCAGGGCCATCCACCGCATCACTGCGCTCTCCCTCGTCTTGCGTGCCAGCCCCCCTCCCCGCTGGCCCTGCGGCCACTTGGAGTGTCACAGCCAGATGGCGCGCGCAGGAGGCACTGGGGACGCCCGCTCCAGCCCCGCACGGCCCGCGCCGCAACCCGCAGGGCCTAACCTCGGGCGCCGGGACGCCACAGGCCCCTTCCTGCAGCCGGCGCCGCGCTGCGCCTCTTGCTCGCCACACACGTATATGGGACGGCCCAGGGCGGTGGCCGACGTCCCAGGCTGGGGCCAAGCCTACGGAGGAAACTGGCGCCGATGTCCCGGGTCTCCCTCTGCTGGGCCCCTTCCCTGGTGCCGAGGCTACCTGCGAACAGGCACCGGGTTGGGCTACCAGCACTCCTGAGCCGGACACCAAGGAAAGCTGGGCTGGCAGGATGACTATAAAAGGGAAGACGCCAAAAAATATTGTCCTGGACGGAGCAAAACGGAATGAGCTGAGACCCGTGGAGGAAAGGAGGCTGCTTGGCAGCAGGAAGGAACTCTGGGGGCTGGGGCGTCACCTCCACATCCCAGTCCCTGGTAGCGGCTCTGCGAAAGAAGCAGGATCCTGTTTGGCTTTTAGGTTTGGACTTGTTGAACTCTTCTTGGAAAGTGGCCTTTGCATTCCTGTGCCTCTGAGCCGTTTTCTCTCTCTGCTTTTGGACAGGGGGACTTGTGTGGGAGTATGGGTGGCCACCTGTTTGGGTCTGATGGCACAGTGTCAGGACTCTTCCCCCTGTGGCTGTCTCAGGTCTGATCTGAGAGAGGCAGACAGAAGCAGCCAAATAAAAAGGAAAATTGTCATTTCTGTCTGCTGTCACGACTCCACTGGCTCAATGGGCTAGGATGACAGGAAAGCCTGAGGGATTGGGGGTTACTGAGAAATTTTGGGGCCAGGGACTAAGTTCCACAGATAGACCTCAGCAATGGCTGAGCACAGTGAGGAGTCCAAGGGGAAGGGAGCCATCCAGAGAGGACATTCCTCCTGTGCCACTGGAGGGAATTATCTGGAGAAAGTTAATGGGGAGGTTAAAGATATGATCAGTCTCATCTGTGGACCTCCCTGCAGAACTACCATCTGCAGGGAGCCACAGCAGGGGCTACCATGACGCCAGAGTCTGGCCATTCACAGGGAAGGAAGCTGAGGGCAGGACCAAGGATTGGGGGCCAGGAAGTCCTGCTTATACTCGGAGTGGCAGGTAGAGCTCTCAGGGAATAGTGGGTCAGCACCTCTGTGATGAGGGGTAGGCTTGGAATCCAGGAAAGATTATGGGGAAAGGGTTAGGGAGCCCTTAGGCCAAGGATGCAGAGAGAGTGGGAGGCACAGGAATGTCCCCTCCTGGAAAATTCTGGAAAACTTTGCTATATCTAAGATAGGCTCATGCCTAGCCCAATCAGACCGACAGGGATAATTTTGCAGGTGGTACTTGCAGGGCTAAGGGTCCAATGTGCCAGGGGAGGGCTGAGGACTTTCTGGTCCCTTTGGAGAACTGGGCTCTTGCTGTCTGAGGGGAAGGGTTAAATATAGCCATCTCAAAATGGGGAACCCCACAGAAGCTTGGGAGATGCCCATGGGCACAGACCCAAGGGAGCGTGAGGTTCCTCAGAACAGTTAAGGTGAGGCTCGCTGCTGTAATTAAAAATGTCTTTGCTTTGTGCAAGCCTCAACACTGCTGGCACACTTGGCATCCTATCCCTAGCCACAGGCTTAGGGCTCCTGATTTCACAGTCAGGGATATGGCACAGACCACAGGAAAGCTTTAACCCTGAGTCTAACCAGGAGCCAAGTGTGGGACCTGGGCCCCAATCCTGACCACTGAGCCTGACAGTGACAGACAGTGGAAAGGAAAGAGCTAGACCTGCCTGGGATCTAGTTCTGCTCTGCCATGTCCTTGGCCTCTAGTTTCTCACCTGTGACATCGATAATGATGCCACCTCAGGGTGGCTGTAAGGTGAACATGCTTCATAATGTACAGTTTGGGGCAATTAGAAGGAGTTCACAAAGTGTTACTGTTTGTTTCCTATTATAATCTTATGATGAATCAGCCTGGACAGTGCTTTAGCCTTCTTTTGGCCTTAGGGATTTATTCTCTGGAAACATGATAAAATCACCAGCAAATCCTGCTTTCCTAAATTCCAGGGTTAAAAGAGGGTTCTTTTCCCACACCCAGCAGCCCTCTCTGCCCAGGAATGGTGAGGGTGCCCCCTGCAGGTGAAATAAAAATGTGGCGAGTGAGGGAGTTCATCAGAGGGGCGTGACCACTTGCCTCTCATAGTTTATCAGCTGCATGACCTTGTGTAAATAAATCACCCAACTGATTTCAGTTTGGGGGTTCCCATTTGTATAGTGGACTAAAATAAGTACTTACATCCTAGGCTGTATGGACTAAATGAGACAATGCATTTAAAGCGTGTAGCATAGGGTTCAGCCCACATAATCACTCACTATAATAGTAATTAGAGCATTTTTAGCAGCTTTACAGTTCACTAGGCCTCATATACTCAGTCTCTTTGGCTCTTTTTAGAAGTATGTGCCTTCTTACACCTACACTTTTACACCGGCGGCCTTTGTCACAAGGAACCAGTGCCTGTCATGGTGCTAGCAATGAATGAGACGGAACAGCAAAAACATAGAAATATAAAACCCAGTGTTGTCAGGGACATGGAGAAAGGGGCACATTTTACAGATTTCTCGCTGTACTGTATATTTGTTCCTTTTTTGTAAATATGGAAAGATCATGATAAAAATACATTAAGGAAGCAATCCAAAAGGATTTTTTCCCTTAATTTGCAAAAAAAAAAAAAAGCCATCACAGCAGTCTGGTTCATTATAGTGCAAGGTTTTAAAAAACACATATGCCCAACCATAAAGGCAAACTCTGCTACTTTAACAGAATGAACATAATAGTGAGTTAAAAGGGCAGATCACAAAATGGTCCATGCCCACTAATTATCATGCAGGCAAACATGTAGGTGCCTGCACAGATGGGGAGAGGATTTGGAGAGATAAACATGGTTTTTAATTTTCACTAGATTCTTCTTAACTTTTTTTATGATTATTAGAAGATTTATTAAGCAAGAATAATATATTAATCATCATTGCCAGACTTAATAGGAGATATTAAATTTTAGGTCCAATTTTCCTACCTGGATAAGTTTTTCCTTCCTATCCCTATCAGTTTTGAAAACATAATACCAGAAGAAGAGGGGTCCAATTCCAAACAGAGCTCCTAAGAGTGAGTTCTTGGGAGTGGGTCTGAAATTTGGGTAGATATTTGCTGATCTTGCGTAGGTCCAGCGAATTAAGGCAGGATCTTCGATGAGCCCTTGGCAGTTGGGGTCATTGTACTGAAGCAGATAGTCCCATTTAAGCCGGGCTCTTATGGCCTACCTCTCGGCTTGTGCCTTCCAGGTTTCCGGAGATATGTCTTATCGGGGTCGAGGGTCGGGGTAGAGTGGCCTGACATGAGGGCTTATACTTTGGAAACGACATCTTAGCGCCCTAACGCAACTGAGCCTGCCCTTCTTAACTATTTTTTGAAAATGAAAGATCTGCTGGGTGCAGTGGCACATGCTTGTAATCCCAGTGGCTCAGAAGGCTCAGGCAGGAGGATCATGAGTTCAAAGCCAGCCTCAGCAAAGTTGAGGTCCTAAGCAACTTGGTGAGACCCTCTCTCTCTAAATAAAATACAAAATAGGGCTGGGATGTGGTTCAGTGGTCAAGTGCCCCTGAGTTCAATTCTCGGTAGCCCCTCCCCAAAGTGAAAGATCTGTCCCCTTAGGATAACCCCAGAAAGAAGTAGGTTCATATTTTGTGCAAGGATGTCAAGAATAATGTATCCCCAGTGGGCTCCTTTGGAAGGACTCACTTCACTAGATGTGAAATTTTGGGGTTCTTACTGATGGAAGCTTCATCAGATTAAGTTTTCCTTGCCTTTCATGAATGTGCACATACATGTGTGACCACAGATGTCAGGAGACTTTTGTTGCCTCTAAAGAAGGGGTGACTGGGCCCCAGAAGGCTTCAGTGAGACAAGATATTGGCTCAATGATGCCTACCCTGTCAGTTCTATAGGGCTTCCAGACACCCAATCAGATGCCCAGAGTAAAAAGGGCTGCAGAACAGATAAGAGGAGGCTTTATTTCCTCTTCACCTTGAATTAGGCTGGACCTAACTTGAAACTTCTGAGGTTTCTTTCCTGTTCACCCCACCACCCAAAGCACCCCTAGTATGCAGGCCCACTTCCCCCTCCTCTGTTTGTATCCCTAACCTCTCTCAGCATCTGTCACACTTAGAGCACACAGGATGGGGGTGGGCAGAGGTGGGATCAGTGTCACTGGGGACACACTCTAGGCGCTTGGTTAACATTTCCTGCTTCCTCCAATTCATCCGGTTGGCCTTGATTGTGAGCCAGGCCCTGGTTGAGGGAGCTGGGGTCACCACTGCCTCCTTCAGGCGCCTAACACCGAGTTGGGAATGGGGAAAGAGAGAGGAATTCCTTCCTTTTGTTCCCTGTGTCCACCCCAGAGATCAGTGAGGCCAGCCAGCTGTGAAACAGCAAGAGGCTGACCCAAATGTCTAGCTGGCCCAGGGCTCGTCACTCAGATTCCCAGGCAGGCAGGGAACATGGAGTTGACCAAGGAGTTCAAAGCCCTTCTAAAGGCTGCAGCTGGCCCGGTTTCTGTAGGAAATTTTCCCAGAGTTCCAAGATTTTATGTTAAAAGTCTGAAACTCTAGCCAGGTGTGGTGGTGCACACCTGTAATCCTGGTGGTTTGGGAGACTGAGGCAGGAGTATCACAAAGTTCCAGGCCGGCTTTGGCAACTTAGACCCTGTCTCAAAATGATAAAAAGTAAAGTAAAAATAAATAAATATGGCTTAGTGGTAGAACCCCCTGGGTTTAATCTCTAGTGCCATAAATAAATAAATTAATTTATTTTTTTGAAAGTCTGAAACCCCAATTTTTATGTGGAATGAAGTTTTAAAAAACACTGGTTAAGTCAAAACTTGTGCAGATCAAACCTACTTTGTAGGATTAATATAGTCCATGGGTTTCCATGAACCATTTAGATGGGAACCTACCTGGTTTAACTGCTGGCAGGGTTGGGCTCCAACTCCGGTTATTCCCCTTATCACACAGCCCACTAGGTGGCGCTGCAAGCCAGCATCTTGCACGGGCAGAGCAAGCCTGGTCTTCTAGTGCCCTGACTAAGAAGGAAACGGTAACCAACTCATTCAGGCAACCTTGCTGCCACCAACTAATCTGGATTTTTTTTTTCCTTTGCTTACAGAATTTAAAAGGTTTATTTATGTCTGTTTTTTCTGTCTTCTAGGCTAGACACTGCGTAATAAAAATATATAATGTAAGACACATTTTAATTTTAAATTTTCTACAAGGCACAGTAAATTTTTTTAAAAAGGTAAGACATAGGTGACATTAATTTTAGTAACATTTTACTTAGCCTAATATATCCAGATATTATTATTTCCACATGCAATCAATATAAAAATATGAATGAAATAATTTACATTCTTTTTTCTCTGTTGTCTTCAAAATCACATCTCAATTTGTCTAGTCATATTTCAAGTGCTCAGTAGCCTCATGTAGCCAGAGGCTACTGAATTGAGTTGGGCAGATGGAGGTCCTGCAGAGGACCTGAGTCCCTCTACCCAACAGCCAGCTCCTGGATTGTAACATGAAATTCTGTGTACCTGGATACTGATGGGGACCAGCAATCTCAGGGGCCCAATTTGCTACACTTGGAAGGAGATTTCACAACTGAAAGGCATTGACATATCTGTGGAAACCCTTGGGCAGAGGAACCCAGTTCACTCCTCTGGCTGGGCTACTGGCCTGGGGGTTAAGGGGCTTCCTGAGGTCTGTGATGTAGACACTCCTCCCCTGAGGGGGGCATTTTGCAAATAACAATGCATTTACCTTATTGTGCAAAAATTCTTAATTTAATACAGTTGGATTTATTAAACCTAAAAATTTTACCCTATAACCACAAATATTTTTTCCAAATTTATTATTTTCTAGGGGTCCTTTCAGTTCCCTAGAGCTCGTCTTAGGTCAGCCCTGCATATGGCTCTTCTCCAGGGCTCTCCTTTCTTCCCTCTGGCCGGTTCTCTGTGTGTACATACTTCCCTCCACCTGTCTGACCCAGCCTTTACTGGAAGCAACATTTTTTGTTTTTTGTTTTTTGTTTTTGTACTGGAATTGAATCTAGGGCCTCTTAACCTCCACATCACATCCCCAGCCCCTTTTCATATTTTATTTAGAGACAATGTCTCCCTGAGTTCTTAGGGCCTTGCTAAGTTGCTGAGGCTGCCTTTGAACTAGCCATCCTCCTGCCTCAGTCTCCAGATCCACTGGGATTACAGATGTGCACCACCACACCTGGCTGGAAGCAGCATTTCTGAAACCAGCTTGATATGCAACCCAAAGCCATTTTTTTCCCACTAACATAGTTGGTTTTGTTCCTAGTTTGCCTCATGAACTAGACCAAGGATTGATATCTAACTGAGATACAGTTTGAGATGAGCATCTCTTCCCATGTCTGGGCCTCAGTTTCCAAACTGCAGTACCAACAGATTTGAACTCCACAGTTTCTGAGGCCCTTCCAGCATCATTTCCCATATCATGCATAACCCTAGGATTTTAGATGATTTCATCACCCCCTTCAAACTCTACCCCTGACACACCTCTACCTCTAGTGGCTCCAGATCATCAAAGTAAGGAGAGAGGTCAGGGATTTAGAAAGGAAAAGATACAGAGAATAAAGGAGGCAGAAACAGAGGGAGGGAACATAAAAGGGAACAAAGATGAGAGAGAATCTGGAAAGGCAGCCACAACCAGAGCTGGCATCCGCCTGAGCAGCTGCTGAGCAGCAGGGTCTCTGCCTGCTGCTCTTCACCACCATGGAAAAGTCCTGATGGGCATGAGATGAAGCTACTGTTCCCCCCCCCCCCCGCCCAACCTCTGCTCCAAGCCTTGGTGAGCTGCTTAAAAACCCAGTTAGTGGGTCCTCCGGGGACCACCCTGCTGCTCACATCTCCTTTTCCCTCTTGGAGCGAGGAAGAAGACTTTGGCCTAGAGGTCTCTAAGGGCTGAGGGTCAAGGTCTGGGTGGGATGTGGTAGACCCAGGGCCCAGCATTTCCTACCAGATAGGAGGAAGCACGAGCCTGCTGGGTAGAGAGGCAGGAGGCTCAGTGCCCAGGACGGCTGAAGACATGTCTTTGTGACCCACCTTTGTTTTCCCCATCCAGAGCCCCTGGCCCAGATGAGCAGGTCCTGGGGTTGCAATGGAAACCAGAAGCCAGCCCAAGTCCCTCTGGGCTGGGCTGGGCTGGGCTGAGGCAGAGGCGGGATGCTGCCGGGTAGCTCTCTGGGGAGAGGGGAATTGAAAAGGAAAGGCATCTCCAAGGAGGGTGGAGAGGGAGGGAGGCTGAATGGGCACACACACGCGCACACACACACACACACCACACACACACACAGCCTCCCTGCCTCAGCCTAAGCCTCACTTCAGAGAGGAAGGAGCATTCTTCTCTTTCTTCTGCTTCCCCGCCCATCTGTGCTGTCAGCAAAGTTGGCCTCAAACTTGAGCAGAGCTGAAGGCTGCAGCTCCCTGGGAGCTCTGCAGGGGTGGCGCAGGCCCTGGCCTCTGAACCCAGCTGGCCTTGAGAACCCAGCTGGCTCCTTCTCACCCTCCCAGCACCCAGTTGGCCCTTGGGTCCCTGGGCCACCCTTCTATCCCTGCGCTGGAGGCTCCCACTCTGGGCTGGGGAATGGTGCGCTGAGGTTCCTCTGAAGCCCCTTGTCCAGGCCCTGGAGCTGAAGCAGTCCAAAGCCCAGGCCAACATGGCTAACCCAGGGCAACCTCAGTTTCCCCGGGTGCAGGAGACAGGTTCCACCTCACCTTTGGAACTGCCCGAGATGGAGAAGCTCCTCACCAAGGTAGAGGGCAAGGATGACAAAGCCCTGAATCTGTCCAAGTCCTTCTCGGAGGCTCTGGACTTGGAGAAGAACGGCCACAGCCTGCCCTTCAAGGTGATCTCCGAGGGGCACCGGGAGGCCTCCCTCCCTGGCTCCCTTTCCCGGGCCAGCTCAAGGCGGGCATCCTCTGTCGCCACCACCTCCTTCGCCCAGGACCAAGAAGCCCCCAAAGATTACCTCATCCTTGCCATCGCCTCTTGCTTCTGCCCTGTCTGGCCCCTCAACCTCATCCCCCTCATCTTTTCTATTATGGTAAGTGCTGCTGTTTGTTCAGGGGCAGGGGCTGGACCTTGGGGTTAGCAGGCATGTCCCCAGGCAGGCACCAGACATGCCTGGTGGGATGCCGAGGAAAGAGCCCCAGGGGCTGGGGTCTTGTGGGAAGAAGTCTGCTGGCTCAGCTTCCTACTTCCAGAGAGGCCAGGGGCTGAGAGCTCTTCTTCCATCCTTGCTCCTGGCATTACGGCTTGATTTTGCCCCATTCCTGCCAGGGAAGGGGACTCAGGGAGCTGCCTAGAGCTGAATTCTGTAGGGCAGAGAGTCAGCCAAGTCAGGGGTCTTGCTTATATGGAGGGGGTGGTTGCCCCAAGGAGCCATTCCTGAGCAGCCAGAAGGGGGTCTCAGCCCACCCCCCTCTATGTCCAGGAGAGGAGCCAGGCATCCGGGCCACCTGGGCATTCTACCAGCCTCTGCCAACTCTGGTTTCTAAGAGCTGGTAGTGACTTACGTGCCTGCACTGAGGGCCCCAGGGATTCCCCCAACCCCACCCCAGGGGCACACAAGGAGGGACGAGATGGCTGCCTGCCCTTGGAGCCTTGTGGGCCTCAATGGTTACACAGACTCCAGCATCTGTCTTTAAGGTAGGGGAGGTTGGCCTGGCACAAGAGAAGAATTTGAGAGTCAGAGGGCAAGGACCTGCCTCACCAAGAAGGGGCAAGTGAGCTAGGTCTTTACTTCTGTGGGGTTTAAATTGGCTTAGATTGTTCCCCAGCCAAGTCATTTTGGGTAGAGCTATTTAGGGAGGATCCCACAGAAAATGTCAATAGATGTTGGCAGGTGACCCTGGAGGTTCAGGAAAGAAGGAGGGAGAGTGAGACGCATGTCAATAATGTTTAGAACGAGGTTAGGGGCAAATGGGAGCAAACTCTAGCTCCCAAGGCCGGTCAGGGCCAAAGGACCAGGTGGGGTGACACTGTTTCCCCTGGAGTGACATGCTGCTGCCACATCTATCACCAAGTTCCTAGGAGTTATGGTTACTCTGGATGTCCTCTGAAAAAGACCACATTTCTTCACTAAGGCTCAGTCTCCATCTAGAGGAGGACTTCCCCACCCCCATCAAAAAACAGTAGCACCCCCAGGACATCAGGGGACACTGACAGCATTCTTTTTTTTTTTTTTTGTACCGGGAAGTAACATCCCCAATCCTTTAAAAAAAAAAAAAAAAACAACTTCCTAAGGTGAACTCACTCTCCTCCTGCCTCAGCCTCCCAAGTTGGTGGAGCACCACCGCTCCTGGTGGCATTCTTGAGTATGAGGGATTTGGCATGGGCTCAAGAGGCAGGGCTGGGCAGGGCTCCCTGGTACATCCCCAAGAACTTCCTGTGCTGCTTGCTGCACTTGGGGACTGCTAGGGGACAGAGCCAGGCTCCAGGTGTGCAGCCGGTGGCTCTGGGCAGGGCCAACCTCTTGGTTACAGAGAAAGGTCCCAGTAGGGGAGAGAGACTTTGGAGGGGGAATTCACACAAGGGCTCAGGAGAAAACAGACTCTAGAATCTGTCTCCTGGCATGGGGGCGGGGGTGCAGTGTCCAGGAGCTGCACAGGAGCTGCCCTCCTTAAAGGGAACTGGACCTGAGATGGTAAGAACACTGAACCCACCTCCAGCATTTCTACGTCCTTGTAAGGTTCTTGAGTCAGGTCAGATGGTTGCAGGGCCCAGTGCAAGAAGTCTAGCACTAAACCAGACACCATTTGCCAAGTTGCGGTGACCTGTCATCCAGTGGGAAGAAACATGTAAACAAGTCCTTACAAAATACTGCACGAAGTGCCCCTGCTAGCCATAACCACAAGGGAATTATAGAGTCCTGGACAAGTCTCTCAAGCCTCTTATCCTCAGTTACCTCTCTGAAAAGGGGGTATAACCATAATGCCTGCATTAGGGAGCTACTGGAGGGTAAAGTGGGATGGGCCATTCAAAGTGCATAAGAGCAACACTCAATGCATCCTAAGTGCTATTCCATGGTAATAGTAACTAAGTGGCAGCTGGGAGTCTCCCTGGTGGGGAATGGGAAGCCATTGTAGGTTTTGTTGTTGATGCAGTGCTGGGATCAAACCCAGGGCCTTGTGCATGCTGGGCAAGTGCTCTGCCACTGAGCTACATGCCCTGCCCTTTTATTTAAAAAAATTAAAAAAAAAAACAGTTTCATTGAGATATGTCACATAACATACAATTCACCCATGTAAAGAGTGCAACTCAATGGTGTTTTTAAAAATATTTGTAACTGATACATAAAAACACAAAATTTGATATATTGGGGGGGTGCCATATACTATTTCAATACATGTATACTTTGTACAAACATGTATCATTTCTTTTTTTTTTTTGGTGGAGGGTACTGGGGATTGAACTCAGGGGCAACTCTACCACTGAGCCACAGCCCTAGCCCTTTTTTGTATTTGGTTTAGAGACAGGGTCTCACTGAGTTGCTTAGAGCTTTGCTTTTATTAAGGCTGGCTTTGCACTCACAATCCTCCTGCCTCGGCCTCCCAAGCCACTGGGATTACAGGAATGCATTTATTTATGGTGGTAACTTTCAAAATCCTTTCTTCTAGCGTTTTGGAACATGCTGTGTTATGTTATCGAGAGTCACCCCACTGTACAGTAGCATCCCAGAGCATCTTGCTCTGAACTCTAACTTAGTACCCAGTGATCAGCCTTTTCCCATCCCTACCCACTGCTGTCCCCAGGCTCTTGTAATCACCATTCTACTCTCAGCTTCCGTGAGAGTGACATTTCTAGATTCTGCTCCTTGTCTCTCTGTGCCTGGCTATTTCACTTAACACAATGGCCTCCAATTCAAATGATGCAAATGACAGAATTTCATTGTTTTTCTTAGCTGAATAGTAATTGAGTAGTTTTTAATGTCCTCGAAGATTGTTACAACTTAGCCACAGTCAACTTTAGGATATCATCTCCTAAAGAAGCCCTTTCCGCTCCAGCTGTCTTCCTCCATCCTTCGAACCACCCAGCCCTAAGCCAACACTGATCTTGCTCTCTATAGATTGGCTGATTCCGGGTGCTTTGGGTCAATTGAATCCAAGAATATATGGCCTTTGTGACTGGCATTTTCCGCTTAGCACCATTGGGTCCTTGGGTGGACCCAATGTCCATTCTACAAACCTACACCAACACCGTCCCCTTTGAGCTTCCTCTCTGAGGTAGCATGCTCCACAGCAGGGTCTGGAGCTGAGGTATTGTGGCCAGATTTCCATTTTGCTGGATCTGCCTGGCATAGGGTGAGAGGAGGGGCTGAAGGAGGATGAGCCTGACACAGAGACGAAGAGGCCTGAACCAGGGTCAGGTGCAAGGGCAAAGGGAGCTTCTAGAAACTTTAAGAGTTGGCTACATTACCATTCATTCATTCATTCAACTTGACTTGGAGGGCAGGTTGCTTGTTTCGAGGATACCTCGCCCCTGTCAATACTGGGCCTCTTTATGAACCAGGCACTGTGCTAGGCATTTTGGGAGTAGAAGGCAGATGTAAGTGGATGGCATTTGGGGGTATGGCAGAAGGGTACAAGAGTGTGACAGGGATTGGAGGCAGGCAGGGACTTGTTCCAGGAATTTAAATTTTATTCCCGTGGCTCTAAAGAATGGGTTTTAAGCCGAGGCAAGATGTGGTCAGTTCACATTTTAAAACCAACCCTCAACTGCATTGTGGAAATGGACTACCCGCAGGGAGACCCCATGTCCTAGCAGAGGTGATGAAGGTCTGATTTCAGCCATGGGGTCAGAAGGAAGGACAGTGAGAGGAAAATGTTAGGAGGGAGGAGCCCTGTTTACCTCAGGCTGCTGACCATCCAATTCAAAACTCTCTGCGCCATCTTAGAGAGAGCTCTGAGGCCCACAGCACTTAAGGCAGAGGGAATTGGCCAGAAAAGGGTTAATAAAAGATTCCAGGAGGCAGGAGGAAAGCTAGAAAAGAGGGAGAGAGACCTAGAGCACAGTGAATCTGAAGGAGGAGGTGGACAAAGGCTGTGGAGAGGCCAGGTTCAAAGAGGACAGGAATGTCTTCTGAGCTGGCCATTCATAGACCTCTGGAGAAACTCAGGGGTGCCCCTGGTGATGGAGAGGCCTGGACTAAAGGAGGGGTGGTGATTGATGGGGTGGGGTTCCTGAAGAGAAGAGGCCATGAGTGCCAAGACAGGCAGATATATCAAGAAAGGGAGGTGCTCATGCTCTGCAATCTCCATGTTACCAGGGACATGAAAGGCCAGGGGATTTGCTGAGAAATAGGGGCATGGTGGCAGAGGGAAGGTGACAGACAGGTCAGTGGCTAGAAAGCTTTGCTTGGGTTAGAGACGATGGATGGGGGTTGTCATCAGCCTACAGGGTGGTGTGAGTTTCTCCAGATGTTGGTGTAGGTTTGTAGACATGGACATTAGGTCCACCCAAGGATAAAGATAGTAGAGTGGCCATGAAAGCAGGACCAAGTGGCACAGGTGAAGGAGGTAAGAGTAACTGAGATGACATGACAGAAACAGGGCTGAACAGGGAGCCAGTGAGGCCAGGAAGGTGGTGATAGCTGGACACCAACCTCATGAGACAGCACGCTCTGCAGATGTTAACAAGCTCAAGAGAGGCTATGGGGGTGTGGGTCTCCTTCCATCCCTGGGGTCAAGGACTTGATCCTGCATTTGGGTAACCAGTGGAGGAACTTCATCTGAGTTTGATGGTCTGGTTAATTGTGCACATTTAACAGATGAGGCAGCTGAGCTGTGCAGAGCTGGGCTCATGGTCACACAGCTGGGACAAGGCTCATCAGATGTATGCTGAATTTATTATTCTCTTAAGGCCTCACCTTGCATCTGACTCTGGCGACAGGGATGGTGTGAAACCCTTCGGAAAGCCAAACCTCTCAGCCATTTGTTCAGGGAAAGGAAAATCCCACTTCTTTCTTTCTTCATGCCCCCCCTCCAACTCTCCCTCCATCCTCACTAAATCCAGCAGCATCCTGTGGCTTTGACAGGGGGTCAG